CACCCCCCCAGTCATTAGGACTGGAGGAACATGCTTCTAGTAATTAGGTAAGATTGATTTAGAGGCTGAACACCACCCACAATTTGTGTAGTCTGGGGTCAGGCAGGCAGCTGCAGAAACCGCTCAGCTAATTATGAGAATTCACTGTTCGTTAATAGAATCTCTCTCCACAAACAGCAGCTGTGTGTTTGCTCACGCAGATTATTAATTCTGGCCTTGCCTCAGCTGCAAGTTTCTGCTGCGTCGAAAGGAATCCTCTGATAGAAGTGTCAGTTATCACCCAAGCGATGCCAGGGGAGAAAGGAAAAGCAGAAAGAAAGGAGAATATCTTCTAATCACGGGTGGATAAAGATTTTTTTTGCAGATACCTTCCTTTTCTGCCTCTTACTCCCAAACAATTAAATGCCAGTTTTGGAACTCATTAATCTGTAGGCAACCTGGCGAGATCTAATTTATACCTGTCAGGAGCAATGGGCAGCAGCTAATAGGAAAATAATTGCAATGTAAGTCTACTTTCTCACTTGATTGTATGCTTTATTTTAATGACAAATCTTTGATATGGTGCATCAGAACATTATAAAAGATATTGTCTGCATCAGTTCTACAGCTATGTGCATCCTCCTAGTTGTGCCATGTTGGTTTTTTTTTTTTTTTAAAGTGCATATTTGTATTTTCTGCAAAAATTGAACAGAGGCAACTTTAAAAATGTGGCTTATTATCATTTACAGACATCTGCTTCATACCAAATGAGAAAATAACACCAGCTTTGTATGCAAGATATATCTTGCTACATAGCTAGATGTAAAACACACACATAAATTATTTGCTGAAAAATCAAGACTCAAATAAATTTTGCCTTGGTCAAAGTAAAAGCTGAAACTCATATTCATGTTGATAAGCAGCAATGATTCCCAAGTTCTTAGACTTGATAACCATATAGAATATTAGGGCTTTAGGGAGAGCTGAGTTTCCTCTCTGTATTGAATCACTGTCACAGGACAAACTATCTGGTATTCAGGTACAGTCCCATCCAGCAAAATTCAGAAATATTCTCAGGAATGTTCACATATCCATGAACAGAAGGTTCCTGTTGTGAAACATAAAACATCCATATTGTGCATTTGGATGGAGATGTGTGGGAGACATGCAGAACATCCCCATCTGCAAAGTAAAGGGGAGCAAAGCCCCATCTTTACATCATATTTTGCCTTGTGAAATAGGTACTTGTCACGTTGGCTTAGACCATTGAATTAGGCCAAGAGATGAAGATCTTTGCAATGCTGCAGAGCTCAGTTTAATGGTAAGTGAGCATCAGTGTGGGGATACACATGTGGTGAAATGATTTAGTAAGAGCTGTATTCTTGTAATAAATGTAGAATACTGTTGACTGCTGGAAAATTAAACTGCTGGGTTTGTGGCAGGCAGACCAGACCAAGTTAATCCCCCAGTTATCCCTCCGTTTATTGCAACACTGCTGCAAAGTTGCCCCAAATACAAACGTGGTCCAGTGTGTTTTGCTGCTTTAAATATTAGCAGAGGACAGCATGGGTCAGTGGGCAGTGGCATATGATATAAAGCCCTCCAACAAATGCTTTTGAAAAAAATTGCTTTTTTCCCTACAAAAGTGAAATGGAAAAAATCTTCTGTGTAAACAGCTTGAAGTTTGATTTTGGGGTTTTTGTTGGTTTGGGGTTTTTTCACTAAAATAAATATTTCGATATTTGATTTAAGGCTTTTTGAGAATCCCTTACAGTGTTTTGTGAAAGCAAACAAAAATGTTCATGTTCACTCATCTTTTTTCATGAAGGAAAACATCATTTTGTGACCAGCACTTTCTCCCAGAGTCCTAAATCCATAATTTTTCAAATACAAACACAGCCTAAATTGCCGATTAATTTATTCCAACTTCCACTGAAATTCATAATACAACTGTTTCATGATAGGTCTTGCAGCTACATGCAAGCAATTGCACAAGGAAATGCCAAATCTTTCTAGACACTTTCAGCATCTGTACAAATCTGGTCCTTATTAGCAAAGGCCTATTAACAAAGAAGGTTACAATAACGTTTTCATTAGAAATTACCTTGTCCTATTATTCAACTTTCACTAGTTTGCACATTTAAACCATTCTTTCTCACTTTCTAAAGTAAAAGGTACTGATACCTTACTAATAGGAAAGAGGCATCAATCCTGTGAAAGACAAGCTGTAATTAATTTTCTGCAGTGCTTATGCACATCACTGTGATTACTGTTGGTAAGTATTCAGGGATCAGTAATGACCACTGTGGACTTGTGAAAGTAATTTGTGTGAGGAAAGGAAGAGATTTGATAAAGCTGCAATAGATTTTAATGCTTTTTCTATTGCTGTATGTTTGTCATTCATGTTATACTCTGAACACTTCCTTAGGAGATTTGCAGGAGTATAAAATGTCTAAATTAATTCTGACTGTGAATTTAAAGTGTGTCAGAACACCCATGCTCTGGGATAAACCATGAGTTTGGGCTAACAAACTCATTTAGTTACATTAATACAGGAAAAGAAAATGTGGGATTTGAACAAGTATAAGCCAACTGAAAAAAACCCAGTAAAGTTTCTGATTTTTTTCCTTGCATTGAAATAAACTACAAAATTAAACTGGATTTTTGTCATGATTTGCAATCTGATTCTTTTTAAAGCGGCACTTAAGGTGGGGTCCACATGGCACGCAGTTTTACATATTTAAAGGACTGGGAACGTTGCATAGTTTAATCACTTAATCCTTACCATGAGCTTGCAGGCAGAAGAGCATTTAGAAGGGCATTTAGAGCTCTTTCTTCCAGGGCTTGTTCTTGCAGTGGTTTGTACTCTAGCCTACTTTCCCTCCCCAGCCGTTCCTTCTTTCTCCTTTCATGTCTTTCCATGCAACTCTCCATATTTCCCTATCAGAATCCAACTTGCTAATGAATTAAACACCTTGCTGTCCTACATTTAGCAGAACTACTCAATGCATAGCACATACAGCTGTTCTTAGAAGATTTCTAACCAAATGTTTACAGTTGCACTGAGGTGGAGTGGGAGCTACTTTGAGTTGCTTGCCAGAGAGAGCAGGTAACCAAGGTTCCTCTTTGAGCTCACTTCTCTGTGACTTTGTAGTGGAAAGTTTAATGGCTTCTTTTTTATACAGCCTTGAAACCTTCCAACAAGATGTCACTGAGTTTTATCGTCATCACTCCCATGTAGTTGGTCAGGGACTTGAACTGGCTGCTGTTACGTGGTTTGCAGTTTTTGTGCCAGCTTCTAAACACTGAAATATCTGTTTGTGCAGTAGTTACTGTATATCACTAATGCATAGCTTGAAATGTACATGAGCTATTTTCCCCAATAGGAGCTTATGTAAATAAGTTTATGGGCATATCATACTTTCAGCTGTAATAAAAAGGAAATAAATACTGCTGAATTATGATGCTCTGGTTTTCCTGTTATATTAAGAATTTTATCAACTGCACAGGCTGAAAAGTTCTCAGAAAACCTAAGCCTTTATGTCATTAACATGTTATGCAATTTCAGCATAATTCATTCCTATTGGAAAATGTTGAGAAATACAAACTCTTGTCTACCAATTCTCCATGCAACCCTTCTCTAATTCTATTGCAGTTCTGCTGCAACTTTGTCAAAATTACTCCTCCTCTCAGTTTCATTTACACTTACAAGCATTTTTACTTAGTGTGGATTTTCTAACACCAACATTTGTTGTTTGTGTATCAGGTTGCCAAGCCCTTTATATAATGGGAATAATTTCAAGTTTATAATGATATCTCCAATAAATTATTTAATATATTTATTGAAAAAGGGAGTAAAGGAACTCTTCTGGGTAATTGGTGTGCAGTAAGCCACAGTACCAGTTGTATATTCATTTTTCTCCAATGTATGCAATTATCCACTCAGCCTGTATCCATTAATATTATTTTTCTTCCTAAGCTGGAAGTATATAAAGCCATTAGAAAATAATCCTAAGAATTCTATTTGCTGAATAAATTTTAATTTGCATGGCACCAGGAATTTTTTATTAATGGGAAATAAATTATTGCAATCTTATGGAAGGCGACAAGTTAATAGCTTTGTGAAAAGTAATGGAGAGAAAATGATCTTGAAAAGGTCAGGTCTCCTGTCACAATGTCTTTATGCACAATTAAAACAAGTCAAGAAAGTGGCTATATAATCAGGACCATGAATATGCATTATATCCTAATGAGAGTATGAAGACAGAGATGGGTTAGTGCTAAAGTCATGGTGAGGTGGTGACATAAAAATGGTAATTTGTGATGTAGTATTTAACTACGTGCTTCTGTTTCCTTTGGGAGAATTAACTCGTTGCTACCTGGCTATTCACTGTTTTACCTTCACCAGTATACTAAGTGAAAAGAGATTTCTCTGCAGGAGCACACATACAGATAGAATGTGTTTTACTCTTTTGTAAAGATGCTCCCCATAGTTAGGTAAATCACAAAATACCTCTCCTCTATTACTGCAGGAAGACCTCACAAATATTTGCTACTGTTACATTTTTCATTATAGAAGTTTAAAGGAATTTTCACATTACATAGCAGATTTAATATGTCATGGCTCATCTTCTCTAAAAGTACTTTATTTCTTGAGATGCTCCTGTGCCAGGGAAGCATCCACTTCCAGGTGGGAGGAGGTGCAATCCTCCATTCACAGAGGAAGAAGTTCTGCCCTTCCATGTGCATGTTTTGTGCTGCTCCCCTTTAAAACCTCCTTAAACAGAAGAGACGGGCTTTTTGAAAGTAGAAGAGGAGGGTCACACACTTGTATGCAACTACATTAGTCACTGCTAGGAAACCTTTTTCGAAATATTCCTGGCTAGAAATAATCATCTACAAGAAGAAATTAACTTAGCTTCTTAAGCACTGAATTTCCTCCTGGTATCAGAGGTTGCAGTGGTCCCAGCACTGCTAATGGGTGCTATTGAGTCTTGGAAATCATTCTACGTTGTAATTGAAAATCAGTAAGAACATTCTGATTCAGTGGTCATTTAGTAAAATATAATGGTCACTGAACAATGATTTTGATTAACTAATGGCAATTTAAAGGTTTACAACACCTCTTATGGCATTGCTTATTTGGGTAAGCTATTACTCCCTAACCAAGCTCCCAAAGAGCTTGGTTTATGCTCAAAAATAGGAATAACTAGGAGGGGAAGCAGATGCAGCTGGCATCCTATAATGCTCTGTTTGGGTGGCAGAGTTGTATTCAGTCCATGCTGATTAGATTTCCATAGATGGGCATTCAGCCCGTAGCTCTTTCCATGTATTGGCTCACTTAGTCTATACTTTTCTTGTTTGCTGCTTGTTTCTTTGCCCACTATACCATAGGTTTCTTAACTGTATTATCATTAGATTTTGTACACAAGTATAGAATTAGGTGCTTTTGTAATGAGAGTCTTGTCAGGATTTTTTCAAATATTTTTAGTGTTAAGAGGTTAAGCTTGAAAACTTACTCATTGGGTAAAAAATAGGCTACATATAAAATTTTCACTTTCCTGTCTTGTCTGGTTGCCAGGGGTCTGTGAATTAAGGAGCCCTGAGCCCGCTTCACCATTTTCCTGTTGCCAGCTGTCCTGTCAGTAAGAAACCAGTCAGGATGATCCTTATCAGGAACCAACAGCATTCAGCCTATTTGTTCCCAGAGAAGATGTAATACAGTAGCCACAGTTACTTCCCACCACAACTGTGAGCTAGTTACCTCCCTGGGACCAGACCTGGCAGCATTTGTGGATATGTAAAAAGCTGAGGTGGAAGAGGCAGGGTTGTAAACAAAGTCCCTGCAGTGCTGGTGTTCTGTCACTGTGGGCCCTCAGGCATTTTGTTGTGTAGTTCTGCTTTGATGTTGTCCCATAACTGTGTGGCAGGTCACAGTGACTGTGGCCTCAGCCCATGACAGCAGTCCCACGTGCAGCATCCAGGCTTTTAGGTCTCCAAACAGGTAAATGGAGTATGAGCTGCCATTTTCATGTGTGCTTTGAGGACAGAGGGCAGTTCTCCCAATGAAGCAAACAATGAGTCAAGGAAACTGGTAAAAGTGCACAAACCTTCAGAGTGAACATTGTTTACCTGGCTCAGCACTCTTCTAGAGGTCTGTGCAGTTCTCTGAGGCTGATCTCCAGCCTCAGAAGGGCTTTCCATAGAGTGTATCTCCACGGTACGAATTAACTGCAGAGGTCCAAGTAAATCTTCAAGTTATGGATTCTGATCATTTTACCCAGGTTTGGAAATAAGGCTTTTGCAGTCAGAGAAACAGGTTTCTTTAAACTGGGTATGAGCCAGACAGCAGTATCTTGCAGATTCTTGGCCCAGGCTGGTGTGGATGCAGGCAGGCACTGTGGGTGGCTCTGTACCTCGTGCATGCCAGCATTTTGCTCACAAATCATCACAGGCAACAGGGCAGAAGTGCCTCCACTTCCTCTGTCTTCAACACTCCTTGTCTTTGACTCAGATTACTGATACGCTCCAGGAGGTGGAGAGGATGGAATGGCAACTTAGCCTGCCAGCCCCTTCCTTCCTTGAGCAGAGCAGGGCACACACACGGGGTCCCTGTCACATTACCCCAGCTTGAAAACCAAGCTGGAGCACTAAGATATGACAGATTTTCTGAACACCAACCAGTCACTGCAGCAGTGAATCCAAACTTGCTTGGAGACATCTCTGTATGAAATGGTATATAAATACGACAAGGAAGGTCAGCTGCATTTCTCATTTTCTAATGGCTCCTGTACTTATGGTTTATGTGCTGTTGAAATACTTGGATGGTATTTCCAGGTACCTCAGTTTTACTGAGTTTGTTCTCAGTAGGGGAACAGAATTCTCATCAAGTGATACTGATGGGAAGAAACCATCTACCTCATTCACAATGCTGGTTTTGAAATTAACTGTGGTGACTCAGAGGGAGAAAAAAATGTTTAAATTAATAGTTCAAGGGAAACATTCTGGTTTTGTACAGTTATAGTATAAAAAAAAATGAGGAGAATATGCATATAAAATGCCACAAAATAGTTTTTTTTTTTCTTTGCAGTTATGATGGCTTTCCCTCATATTAAATCTCACTTCAAACATTTGCCATTCTAAGTGGAAGAAGTGAGAGAATCCAGAAGTCAGAGAATATCTCTAAGAAGGTGGAGAGTCTTCTATAAATACGAGGTTTGTTGTTTCTACTGTGAGTGGTAGAAGCATCAGTAACAGGCAATGCTTGAGCAGCATTGCACAAGCACTCAGGTCTGAGGAGACGTACAAAAAGGGTTATGAGCTATGTATAGAAAAGGAGCGGATTAAAAAAGACAAATAAAACGCTCTGAGGAGTGAATAGAAAAGTGAAAAGTAAAATACCAATGTAACAAAAATGAGGATAGAGCTAAGCATTCTGTAGAGAAAAAACACTTTATCTAAACCAAAAATAAATTATTTATACAATATATGTGCTGACCTTGTGCAACTTATTGCCTCAGGATATTTTTTATCTTAAGAGTTTGATAGGGTTTTTTAAAATGAAGATTCAACCTCTATATAAGGAAAAGGGAACGTGTGTCCCTTACATGGGTGAAAGAATAAGGAAGGAATTTGCTATTAGAGAATCTTCCACAAAATCTTAGAGTATCTTCCACAAACCAATGCCAGCAACAGATGCCAGAAGGAATACAACTGTGAGCTATTTCACGACATCAGCACCTAGATTTCTGAACAAAAGAGCTGTTCCTCATTCCCTGCTCTTTCTTTTCATTTGCCAACAGTCCCTCCTCAGCTTTCCTCGTACCTAATCCTCTGCATTTTTTGAATGTACATGAGGGGTATAAGGTGACCTGATAATTCAGAGGGGCTAGAAACCAGAACAAGGCTGATGGCCAGTTATGTTGATAAAACAGCTTCTCCTATCTCTATTTCAGTTAACATTGAAATTCTGCAGTTTCCACTCACCATTTTTTCCCCCCCATGTGCAAGAATAAAACAACTATCCTTAAGTCTTGTCTTTTCCCTCTAGATTAATGCCTTTCATGCTGTTTCTAAAACTCCTCTCTCTCAAGCTGAATGTGTGCCAGTTAGGCAGAGTCAGAGGTAACACCACTATAGAGAAATTCTTTTCAGGGATTTCAGCTGTCAAGAATGATAACAACCCTCTGTGACACACCAACATAGACTTTTTCTTTCATATAAAACAAAGTGCAGATTTATTTCTGACTAATCAATAATTTAGACTTTCAGAATTTGCTAAAAATTTGTTAATATGCTCACCTATTTTCTTGTGTTGAAGTAATAAAAAATTCCAGCAAAATGCACTTACGAAAATAGTATGTACAAGGTGAGAAGTAAAGTGTGTGTGTATTATATTATATATATGTATATATGTATGCATTTGAGAATGAGAGAGTGTATCCACATGTATGTATATATATATGTATGTATATATATGTGTGTATATATATATATGTATAGATAGATAGATAGATAGATAGATAGATAGATAGATAGATAGATAGATATAAATTTCCAGTTCCTGGTTCTTTGTGAAGAACTAATCTGGTCTAATAGATGAAGTGTTTGAAATCTGAAAACAATGTTTTGATGGTCAGAGCAGCAAAAGGGGAAGGTGTTAAATATGGCTTATTAGCATTTTATGAAGAAAAAGAAATTCAGAATCCTCATGAGACCAATAGAGAGAGGGAAAAATACAGTACACATGTAAATTAACAGCCAGCAATCCTCGTACCTAAGGAAATATCCGCAGGACATCTTAAATCATCTAGAATTTGGGTATACTCATTAACCCATGGGAGTTAACCATCTGGCAAGTAGAATACAATGCCCTAACTAGTGTTGTTGTGTTGTTGTTTTATAAATCAGCCTGGATTCAACTGTACTGCTTGCCTAATGGAAAGTATATTGTCATTAACATCATGTCCATTGCCAGATAATAATGCATAAAAATTATATATAGCACAAACAAAGAAGTCATCCTAAAAGCAGTATTAGTGTCCATAGCTTTGATTGAAGATGTGATACAATAACTCTGTGTTTAAGTACACTCCTGTAAAGATTTTCCCTTTTAAAAAGTAATGACAGTATTTACCAGCACATATGCACAGATTTATATCTGATGTCAAATGGTGCAAATATAAAATAAATGCAAATGAAAGCCATGCAATGTCTTCTCTCTGTAGATTGTTTTTTTGACTTAAAATAAATCATATACTAAATACACTTAAAGTCACTTAAGTATTATACTGACATTGATACAGAAATATGTATTTATGAAACTTTATTGTCATTAGAATCAATGGTATTATTTGGACTTTAACAGACAGAAACAACAAACTTTTCACGTTTATGTACATGAGACATAAAGGCATGTGTTTGAACAAGGTTTGCTGGCACTTTTGAGCAGCTGAAAATCAAGCTGGAAGTTCCCACTCTCCTTCTCCATGAGCCATAACAGACTTGGAGGAAGCCAACATGGTAGCAGGTCTGACACCTACTTCAAGCAAGCAAGCAATAACTTAAATCATGTTCCATTGTTTCCAAATGACTTTTCAAAGAATTCAGAGAATTCAGGTGTAATTTGAGTCTGTGTGTGCATGCAGGCATGGGGGTGTTCAGAGATACAACAGAGTGAGACAACCCTACAGAGGGGGAAAGTCCCCCACACCTCACTGTCTCCTCTCCTGCTCCAGCGCTGGAAGGCTGAGCTGGGTTTTCAGCAGGAGGTGAAACAAGCCCGGCCGAGCAGGGTCTGCCCTAAGCACCAATGAACCTTTCTGAGGCTTTGCTTGTCAGGCCATGTGCTCACTTGGTGGCACACAAGCACAGGATTAAATGAGCTTCCTACCCCCTGCTCAGATGCTAAGAGGGGATGCAGATCAATCCAGGTGGATGGACAAAAGAATACGTAACAATAATGGGAAAGCATTCACCTAAATGATGTAAGGTGTAAGCATATGACACCAACTGCCAGAAACAAAGGAAAAAGGTGAATACAGAAAGTGCTACTGCAAAAAAAATAAGAACTTTGTCCTGTGGTGAGTGTACACAGTAACTGCATGACTAGAATTTCATTTCTGACACTGTCTGTAGTCTTGATTGGATTAAATTTATTTTTAAAGACTTAGCCAATTTCCCCTTTCCCCATTTCCTTTCCCTTGTCATGTTGCCACTCTATTAATAGCCTCCCTAGTGAGATCCTAGGGCAAGAAGTGAAGAAAAGTATTGAGCCAGATTCTCCTTGGTATAAATTAATATAATTCCAACTGACCTCAAGTTGTTCCACTAGAGTATCCCAGTGTATCTAATTATAAAGATAGGTTAACTTTAACTAAGCAGCAAATATATTACTCAAATTGGAATTTATCCAGGATGTAGTTTTGGATGTTTAAGTCATTAGTAAATCTATGTGGTATCTTCTGTTAAAATTTGTTTTCTAAAATAAAAATCACACTTTTTTAGTAAAGTAGCATATTCAATGGGAATATCTGTTGGAGCACAATGCATGGACACATGCTTACCGTTAATTGAGGTAATAATAAAATTACAATAAAATAATAATAAAAACCTTGGAAAATCCTGAAAACTTTCTATTGAAGCATTGTTGTAGCTTTCCCCAATTTACACAGTTAATGCAGAGACTGCAAGCTCCTCACAAACTGATTAAAAGCAAACAAGTGCAAATTGTCAAATTTAGTGAAGTGTCACTTTTCATACTATACAACTTACATGTTATAAAGCTATGGGCTTGCTAATAGGATCGTCACTCCAAACAGCACTTACTAGAAATCTCACTTTCCATATGTCAAAGCTGCAGTGCCTTTATCTCACAAAGAACTCACTTACATACTTTACTTGCTTCATAAATGTAGTTTTATGGACCCTCTTTAGTATCTGACACTAAGATCTCCAAACTCTGAAACACCCAGATGAAGTACATTAGAGTTCATTTTTCAGAAGTATTTATCATAAGCTATTAGGAGGAGAATTAAAATTGCTAGTAGAGTTGACTGAGCATTTAAGATTTGTCACTAATCTATTTGTGTAAAGAAGGATCTTGTAATATTCCCTGCCTGCACAAATATCAGTCTTCTGTTCTTATTTTAATCTGTAAAACACATGATTGAGAAGACAAATAGAAGCTGTAAAATGCAAAATCATTTTTCCAATGAGTCTGTAAAATTAAAATCATTACAACATAAAACTTCTTAGGAAGATAGATCCTAGGATTTAATATCATAAAATAGCAGGTACACTTTTCCTTGCACAAAATGAAAGGTCTAAGGTTTGCCTCAGACTTTGGATGTATCAAAGTCCTCATCCAATTCCCAAAGTAGGAACTGGATACTTTTGGGTGCCATCATTCTTCTTAAACTGGTTGTAGTTGGCCTGACATACTTTCCTTTGACAAGAAAATAATACACGTACTCATCTCAGTGCTGAGAAGGCAATGTTCCTACCAGCTGTTGTTCCCAGAGCAAACACGGAGCTCAGAATCACAAAATCACAGAATCAATTTGGTTGGAAAAGACCTCTGAGATCGTTGACTCTGACCTTTGACTGATGTCTACTTTGTCAACTAAATCATGGCACTAAGAGCCACATCCAATCATTTCTTGAACCCCTCCAGGGATGGTGACTTCACCACCATCCTGGATGATCCATTCCAACATTTCACAACCCATTCCATGAAATTCCTCCTAATGTCCAATCTGAATCTCCTCTTGAGCAGCTTGAGTCCTGTCATCTTCTCTCGTGTTGCCTGGGAGAGGAGGCAGACCCCCATCTTGCTACATCCTCCTTTCAGGTAGTTGTAGAGAGTGATACGGTTCTCCCTGAGCCTTTCCCTTTCCCTAAGCCTCCTTTTCTCCAGCTCAAACCCCTCCAGGCTCTGATAAATGCAACAGTTGGGAATGCAGTGTTCAGCACAGCTAATTGTGAAAATCAACACTCTGGTCAAGATCATCACTTCTTAGCTCATGTGGTATTGACCAAGCTCAAACATTTTTACAGGTTTGTTATCATCATGGATGAATAAAATCAGTTTACAGGAGATGTCATTTCTGTAATCTGTACAATTAAGTGTGTGCACCAGAAGTGGCAAAAGTGAATGCACCTGAATCCCTCAAGGAAAAGAGCATGGCAAATAAATGAAGATGGCTAAGAAAAAGGTAATATAGAAATCTTCTTTAAACCCAGCAGGGCCAAGAACTTTCCCTTGGGGTAGATTTTAAATCAGTTCATATTTTCTTTTCTTCTTTCATAACTTCAGGGATATTCAAGAAACCTTCCATCTCCTATGCAGATCACAGAGAGAGGTTGAAAGAATAGAGAAATATCTGTTCATCTATGCATGATGCCAGCCTCTAATTTTTCATGTA